TTTTATAAATTGTTATTTATATATGATTATTACATCGACTTAAAAAACTAAACCGTTCCACTTCACATACAGTTTCTAACACAAAAACAGCAAATAAATCAATGCAAAATATAAAAAGGATTTTTTTTTATAAATTTTTATTTTTTATTTTAACTTCTTTAGAGCACATTTAATATAAGAGCCTTTTCTCCGTTTTCCAAGACAAGTTTTCCCAAATGCGTGGAGCAACAATTAAATACATAAAATATGTGTATTTCAGCTGAGCCAAAGGCGCTTTTAGCGCGACACATCCAGTTGGCCTTAGTTTATTTTATCCTTTTTCAAATGCGAGGAGTTAGAGGTGCGGAGGCAAGGCTTTTAGCCAAAGTCCCCAGTTGCTTGTAAATTGTTCTATGGCCGCCAAACACATTGCGAAATGTGACAAATATGCATTTGGCAACAATAAATTTTACGACCACAGTCGCCGCCGCCGAAAATATTTCACATAGCCTCAGAGTCTGGAGTTCGGTTCCAAAATTAAGGGGCGGGGCAGCGCCTAAGGGGCAGGGAAAGCAGAAAAGTCGGCGAGGGAATAACTCCATATCCATATAAATATAAATTAGCATATTTTGTGGCGCCAGTGCGGCGGCAACTGCAATTTCTCTCAATGGCCAATTGTAATTAAATTGTCGCGAGGCCAGAAAAACGCATACACAGACAGACCTACGAGTACCATATATGCGTAAACATAATTGCTAGATTTTATTGCTCCAGTGTTTTTTGTAATTCAATTTGCCTGATTTATGCCGCCAGCTCAATCACAATTATTCATTGCAAAACAGGCAACGTTCCGCTGATTTGTTGGCCTTGTTAACGCCAATTTATGGTCGATGCCTGATTATTGGCAATTAGCTGCAATTGTCCTACCTATCCATGCCTTTTGGCCTACCCATATTGCATATCGCACCCCTTTCGCCCGACAATTGCATTCAACCCCAATTGGAGGGTTACAAATTGCAGGCTTCAAAAAAAGCCAACTAAGTTTTGAGTGAGTTACTACCCAAAAAACTTAGCCACAAAGCGCCTGCGCTGTCGAAAACTATCTCAAAAGTGTACAAAAAATTCCTCGAGTGTTAAAATAGGGAAATAAGCTCAAGAGTACGAACTCAGTTTTGAGTGAAAATGGCTAGACCAGTAAATTGGCTACTAGACTTTACCTTTTAAAAATAAATATATTGATGGTTTGTAATATCCCATAAAAAAGGTTACATGTTTTTTAAACACGATAGAAAATATAAAAATGATAATAATTGGAAGAGGAGCAGCTAGGGATAGATACCAAATTGAGTGGACACACTGCCAGAAAGAACTAGAAGGACTAGTGACTAGTCTTCAACGAGGAAAATAGGCTTGGCAATACTTAAAAATGACGAACAAATTGATTTTAAGCCTTCGTGGCAGTTATTAAATTTGTATTGCTCCACTGAAAATGAAAAACGTTATTTAAATCTAGTTTTTAGATTAGACTTTTCTATTTGGACATGGTTTATTTACAATTTAGTATTCTATTTGCCACGGGAGGGAGGAACTCCTGGCAGGGGATAGGCTTCCACCAAAGCAAGTCCTAAGATAGTTGTGATCAGAACGGCTACCTTCATTTTGTTTGTGATGGGAAGGAAACAGTGGTTTTTATTTACTCTACCCGTCTACTTAGGGTGGAAAAATTAAATTGGCAATAGTGTTAACTGTTACGCGAATCGATTAGTTATACATGTTTCGGGTTACTATATTTTATTTAGGATATATAATTGATTGATACCTCGTCTTAGCTATCATCAAATTTTCTCACTTTAAATGTATTTTTTAAGGTTTTTAGAGCAACACTAAGGTATCGCAATCTTTCACACTCTAAGGTTTTTAAAACTTTTCTAATAAAAGAAAGACAAAGTTACGAGGTCCTCATTTTATTTTTGTATAATTGGGACTTATAAAGGGACCTTCAGATTTAGATCCTATTTGCCGTTGTCATCAGCCTTGGGACCTGGTTTGTTGGCCTTTGGTTGGGCGTTGGCGAGGGCAAGGGCCAGGACGACGAAGATCAGAACTGCGAACTTCATTTTAAGAGTTAATATGGTTTGATTGGACTGGCATCTGCTTTTTATACTTTCTTTGGGTTCAAGCGGGACCAATTGATTTAACACAATTTAAAGACCTTCTAAGCAAATATTAAATTTGTATTGCTCCACTTAAAATAAAAACCTTATTTGAATCTAGTTTTTAGATATGGTTTTTCTATTTGGATTTACAATTAGGATTCTATTTGCCACGGGAGGGAGGAACTCCTGGCAGGGGATCAGCTTCCATAAAGGCAAATCCTAAGTTAGTTGCGAAGTTCCTTGTGATGGAAAGGAAACATTGGTTTTTATGTACTCTGCCAGTCTACTTAGGGTTGAAAAATTAAATTGGCAATTGAGTTAACTGCTAAGCGAATTGATTAGTTATACCCGTTTCGGGTTACTATATTTTATTTAGGATATTAGCACGACATTCATGCAAGCATATTTTAATACTCATTTTTGAATCGATCAGAAATTACGATTAATGGTAAATTAGTTGTTATTAACATAGAAATACTGAATTTTTTAAAGTTTTCAAAGAAGTTAAACATATATAAGAAAATAACAAGTTCAGTTAATACATTTTCGTACGTCTTTAATAATAAATGATAAAATAATTTAAACTGCTTGTCAAGTAATGCAGTTCAGTCAGAATAAATTAAATATTCTTACTGGTCGCCAATAACCAACTGCTGGCATGGGACTACAACATTCTTAGCTTTTTGTTTGGTAATCTGCATAAAACATGTGCCCAAAATTAGCAACACTTAGATATAGCAATCTTTTAGTTAATAGGTCTTCATTTTATTTTTGTATAATTGGGACTTATAAGTTGGCCTTCAGATTTAGATCCTATTTGCCGTTGTCATCAGCCTTGGGACTTGTTTTATTGGTCTTTTGGGCGTTGGCGAGGGCAAGGGCCAGGACGGCGAAGATCAGAACGGCGAACTTCATTTTAAGAGTTAATATGGTTTGATTGGACTGGCATCTGCTTTTTATACTTTCTTTGGGTTCAAGCGGGACCAATTGATTTTACACAATTTAAAGACCTTCTAAGCAATTATTAAATTTGTATTGCTCCACTTTAATTTATTTAAATCTAGTTTTTATACCCTTACAGAGTGTATTATAATTTCAGTCAGAAATTTGCAACGCAGTGAAGAAGACGTTTCCGACCCTTTAAAGTATATATATTCTTGATCAGCATCAAGCCATGTCGACATAAAGTAATGGTTAAATATTTCAGAATTACGGTTTAAATTTCATCCAATCGGACGACTATAACATAAAGCTCCCATGGGAACAATAAATATATATACAAAAAAATTAAAAAAAACTTGACTTTTTTATTTTGTAATTTTTTTAGAAATTCTTTTTGTAATTCATCATAACTTCAATGCTTTTAAACATACACGCAAGTAAATCATAATTTTAATGTCTTCAAGAATATTGCATTTTTGCAATAGCTACAAGGGTATATGAACTTCAGCTTGCCGAAGTTTGCTTCCTTTCTTGTTAGATATGGCTTTTCTATTCAGACATATTCAATTAGTATTCTATTTGCCACGGGAGGGAGGAACTCCTGGCAGGGGATCAGTCCTAAGATAGTTGCGAACAAAATGGCTTTCTTAATTTTGTTTGTGATGGAAAGGAAACAGTGGTTTTTATGTACTCTACCCGTCTACTTAGGGTGGAAAAATTAAATTGGCAATAGTGTTAACTGTTACGCGAATCGATTAGTTATACATGTTTCGGGTTACTATATTTTATTTAGGATATATAATTGATTGACCCCTCGTCTTAGCTATCTTCAAACTTTCTCACTTTAAATTTATTTTTTAAGGATTTTAGAGCAACACTAAAATATCGCAATCTAAGGTTTTCAAAACTATTCTAATAAAAGAAAGACAAAGTTACGAGGTCCTCATTTTATTTTTGTATAATTGGGACTTATAAAGGGACCTTCAGATTTAGATCCTATTTGCCGTTGTCATCAGCCTTGGGACCTGGTTTGTTGGCCTTTGTTTGGGCGTTGACGAGGGCAAGGGCCAGTACGGTGAAGATCAGGATTGTAAGCTTCATTTTGAGATTTGATATGAATAGTTTGGATCTGCCTTTTATACTTTCTTTGGCTTCAAGTGGAACAAATTGATTAGTGACGCTATTTATTTAATAAATTGTTATTTATATATGATTATTACATCGGCTTAACAAGCTCAACCGTTCTCGCTTCACATACAGTTTCTTACACAAAAGCAGCAAAAAAAATCACAGCAGAATATAAAAGAATTTTTTTTTATAAATTGTTATTTTTTATTATCTCTTCATAAGTATTTTTTAGAAAAAAATAAAAAAATATAAAGTATCTACTAAAACAGTTTAGAGCACAATCAATCTAAGAGCCTTTTCTCCGTTTGCCAAGACAAGTTTTCCCAAGTGCCTGGAACAACAATTAAATACATAAAATATGTGTATATCAGCTAAACTCATAAAATAAGTTGCATGTTTCTTGAAGACATTTGCAATAGAAAATAGATATGTAAATGATCATTATTACATGAGGAAATTTAAAACATTTCGTATATGGATTGCTCTTTCTTAAGGAAAAAAACTATGAGAAACACATATATTGTAAAACATGGTAAAGTGTTTGGTGAATAATAAAATAGAAATTGGAAAATACAGACATTACAATTTTAGTCCCTGGAGTTTTAGTAAGTTGTATGTTACTTTTATGTTGATATTGATATTGAATTAGCAAGACTACTGACTAGTCTTCAAAGTGGAAAATCGGATTGGCAATACTTAAACATGACTAACCAATTGATTTTACACAACTTAAAGTTCTCTTAGCAATTATTAAATTGTATTGCTCCACTTAAAATAATAAACCTTATTTAAATCTAGTTTTTAGATTACGCTTTTCTATTTGGACATGGTTTATTTACAATTTAGTATTCTATTTGCCACGGGAGGGAGGAACTCCTGGCAGGGGATAGGCTTCCACCAAAGCAAGTCCTAAGATAGTTGTGATCAGAACGGCTACCTTCATTTTGTTTGTGATGGGAAGAAAACAGTGGTTTTTATGTACTCTACCCGTCTACTTAGGGTGGAAAAATTAAATTGGCAATGGTGTTAACTGCTACGCGAATCGATTAGTTATACACGTTTCGGGTTACTATATTTTATTTAGGATATATAATTGATTGATACCCCGTCTTAGCTATCTTCAAACTTTCTCACTTTAAATATATTTTTTAAGGATTTTAGAGCGACACTAAAATAACGCAATCTTTCACACTCTAAGGTTTTCAAAACTATTCTAATAAAAGAAAGACAAAACAAATTGATTAGTGACGCTATTTATTTTATAAATTCTTATTTATATTTGATTTTTCCCAAGTGCCTGGAGAAATAATTAAATACAAAAATGTGTATATTTCAGCTAAACTTATAAAATAAGTTGCATGTTTTCAAAAGACTTTTGCAATATAAAATATATATGTAAATGAATATTATTAGATGAGGAAATTTAAAACATTTTGTATATGGATTGCCCCTCTTAAGGAAAAAAACTATGGGATACACATATATTGCAAAATATGGTAAAGTGTTTGGTCAATAATAAAATAGTCGCTGGAATTTTAGCAAGTTGTATGTCACTCTTATGTTGATATTGATAACTGCAATGAACTAGCAAGACTACAGACTAATCTTCAAAGTGGAAAATACTTAAACATGACTAACCAATTGGACATGGTTTGTTTTCAATTTAGTATTCTATTTGCCACGGGAGAGAGGAACTCCTGGCAGGGGATAGGCTTCCACCAAAGCAAGTCCTAAGATAGTTGTGATCAGAACGGCTACCTTCATTTTGTTTGTGATGGGAAGGAAACAGTGGTTTTTATTTACTCTACCCGTCTACTTAGGGTGGAAAAATTAAATTGGCAATAGTGTTAACTGCTACGCGAATCGATTAGTTATACATGTTTCGGGTTACTATATTTTATTTAGGATATATAATTGATTGATACCTCGTCTTAGCTATCATCAAATTTTCTCACTTTAAATGTATTTTTTAAGGTTTTTAGAGCAACACTAAGGTTTCGCTTTCACACTCTAAGGTTTTCAAAACTTTTCCAATAAAAGAAAGACAAAGTTAAGAGGTCCTCATTTTATTTTTGTATAATTGGGACTTATTAGTTGGCCTTCAGATTTAGATCCTATTTGCCGTTGTCATCAGCCTTGGGACTTGTTTTATTGGTCTTTTGGGCGTTGGCGAGGGCAAGGGCCAGGACGGCGAAGATCAGAACGGCGAACTTCATTTTAAGAGTTAATATGGTTTGATTGGACTGGCATCTGCTTTTTATACTTTCTTTGGGTTTAAGCAGAACCAATTGATTTTGGGTACTTCCGAGAAAGTTCTAATAATAATAATAATTTTCAACTTTGCACTGACCTTGAAATTTGGTAATATTTTGATTTTCTAAAGTAGCCAACCTATTATGGCTTGCCGCAGACAGGTAAGCGAAGTGGGGAGGGGGGCTTGAATGACTATTGATATATTGTATTTTTCGATGTGAGAACGGTTGAGCTTATTAAGCCGATGTAATAATCAAATATAAATAACAATTTATAAAATAAATAGCGTCACTAATCAATTTGTTCCACTTGGAGCAAAAAAAAAAGTATAAAAGGCAAATCCAAACTATTCATATCAACTCTCAAAATGAAGTTTGCAACCTGATCTTCGCTGTCCTGGCGCTTGCCCTCGCCAACGCCCAAAAGACCAATAAAACAAGTCCCAAGGCTGATTACAACGGCAAATAGAATCCAAATCTAAAGGATCCTTTATGAGTCCCTATTATACGCAAATGAAATGAGGATCTCTTAAAGAAATGTGTTTGCCCTATGGCAGTGGTTTAATTTGTCCAATTGATTTAGTTTATTTTGAGATAGTTGAATGCGGTTGGCGCAACTTTTAGGATTCAAACTGCGATCAACTTCCATCTTTCAAAGTATGTTTTCAGTAGCTCTACCAGTAGGTATCTTAAATTTATTCAAGCTGCAATTTTTTTTATCCAGTAATTATCAAAGGAAATTCAAGTTCCCATCTAGCTTGTTCTGGGTCATTCAGGGTAATAATATAAACTTAGGTTTACATCGTAGTCTAAATCTTTTCCAACTCAATAGATTATAAATGACAATAGACAGTAAAAATTTTGGAAAACACACTAACTTCGCTCGGAACCTCATAGCTCATAAGTCATTATTTAGTTATAAAATTTGTCTTTATTATTTACACTTTATTTATTTTTTGTATATTTTCTTTATCTACCATCCCTTAGCAAAAGTACAATAATGCAATAATAAAGCAATGCCAAGTATCTTCAACTCTGAAGTGTAGATAATGCATTTTTTCGCTTAGTATCCAAAGATGGTATGGAAAGTGGCACCGAGTCTAAAGCTTCATATCGGCTCTCAAAATATCGTCAAATCCAACAAAAAAGAAGGATCATCACCCAAGCTGATGGCACAGGCAAAGTAAAATGTATAATATGCTGATGTCTTAAGTGAGTGGGTTATTCAGCGTCTATGAAACTAATTTTTTTTTTATTTTTTAATAATTTAATTAATTTTTAGCTAAAGTGTTGGGTGAAGGTTTCGTTAACATCTAAGGATTAGTAGTTGATTTAAGGCCTGCATCTATTTGCCCTCGGGAACCACGGGTGGCACGCCAGGTCTTGGCCTTACGGTGACAAAATCTATAGGCGGTACTGGATTTGCAAGTGCAATGGCCAGAATGGTCAAGAAAACGTTTACCGCAAGCTTCATTTTTTATATCCAATGAAAGAAACGACGCTCTTTTAAGCAAAGAATTCTGAATCGAAGCGAATCAATTGGCCAAGGCCTTGATGGTAAATTGGTTTAAACTTGTGACATTTTCTTAATGTCATCTGCCTTCGTTCTTCTTGAAATAATTTCTTTTTTCTTTCATCAGCTAGAATTGAAAATACACACATACACATTTAATTTAAGAAAATGTTATATTGATTTAAAGTTCCAAATAAACTGTAATTTGGGCTTTACATGGAAAAAATAAATGCGTTTGAACCTAACTACATCTCTCATTAAACATTTTATATTTAATTATTGCTATAGTTGCTAAACGGAACTCAAGTCCAAGCTTTTTTAATGGTTTTTCTTTACTGCCTTCTGTTTTAGTTTAATTTACTCCAGCATAACGAAATCGTTAGGGCGCCACATGCAATAAAATAAAAAGCAAAACGCAATTAAAATTATTTCAGGCGACGCCGTCGCTTTCGAGGCACATGCAGTGCGGCAAATGTTTTGCGTAATTGCAGTTTGGGGCTCATTAAAGACCGGGCTTTTTCCTTCGCAGCTTAGCTGGTTTTCCTTGGGGGTTTCTCTCGCTTTTCCAGCCGGACACAGCTGGCGTGCGAAAAGTGCCAAGCGGACTTAACAATGCGTTACATTATTGTCCTCCCACTCGGCGAGTCTGAGTAAAACATTAAAAATCCATTGCACAAAGCTAGACAAATAGACGCACACAATCGGTGGTTCGCAGGGGCTGGGAATCCACCCATTTCCCCTAGACAGACAATCGGCTGGCTATATACATATAGCTCCTCTGGCCGGAGTAGCTTGCTTAATTAATAAATTGATTGGATTGTTTTCACAGCACGCAGTTCTCGTGAATTTTATTTCTCTGTTTTCCGTTGGTGTGTTGCTTAATACGTTTTTCTTTTACCTTTTAATGTCATTTTCTATGTTTAATTTTTTCTCGATTTTACAGTTACTTGCTGATTCATTTTATAAGAGCTTGAAGCTTTTATTAAGAGCCAATTTATTCTGTTCGTATAAATAAAAAATGTTAATTAATTTATAAGGAAGTTACCCAAGATTCTTATTGCTGCTGAGATATTCAGTTGCTCAATAACTAAATTGAATTTATTAACCAAGCTAACACTATGCAAGCTCTTTCCGAAAACCGTTGAAATATGACCAGGCGACCCGCAGAGCAATCCCTTGACCCCCCTGGCCATCCCCCTCTTTGCCGGCTCGCTGTTAACTGCTATTAAGCTAGCCACAAGTTGCTACGCGACAGGGCTAACACAAACCCACCCACACACTGCCACACACAGAGGCAGACACACATGGGAGTCCTGCCTTGTTATTATGGCCAACAATTCAACAGTTATCCTTTGGCTTTAACCCCCCATCCCGCACTTCCCGTTTTAACGAGCGCCACTTGAACCCGTTTATTTTGCATGTGTTTGCTGGTTCTTTCTGTTTTTTGTGTTTTTTGTGTGCTTCTTCGGTGGCAAACACATTTCACATGTCGCCATCGTCGTTCTGCGCACTCATTTCCGCTTCCTGTTTTGTGGCCAAAACTTCAGAGCCACAAAAAAGGTTTGTCTGTTTGTCTGTTTGTCTGTACCCCCCACCACCCTGTTTTCGGTACAATTTTCATTTGTACGCCACGGCCTCGTAAATCATGCGCTGACATGGCTAGCAAAATTGTCGCTGCAGTTCATAATAAAAAGATAAGAACGAGGCAAACGGTCGGTAAAAACAGCGGGAAATTCTGCAACATTGGAATTTCGAGTGAGAAATGTCGGGGGTAAAGAGGTAAATAAAATTAATAAACTTCAGTGAAGACAAGTGGCCAGATGAAGAATTATGTGGAGAGTTGCGTAAGTAAGTGAGTTCTGGATTAGGATAAATAGAAGGAAAAATGGCTGTTGCAGGCTTAAGGTGAAAAAATTATACATTTTTTGTGCTTAATAAAATGTATTTAAGTAAAGTTAATTTTTGTCAGGATCGTCTGCTGATAAATGGAAATCTCCTCTTCAGCATTTAATTTAATTTTTTCTTTATCACCCACTCGTTCTTGCCCAAAATGTAATCCACCAGCATACAACAGCAAAATCGTGTTGCTCTTAATGAAGTTTTTTTTTCAGTTTTTGGGGACAAAAAAAATGGTTTTTTATTTGTTTTTAATGACTGCTTTCTGGAGTTTGAGAACCAAACTATCGATCCCCACCAGAATTTCAAGTATTTATTTTTAAAAGAATTTAATTTTTCCTAACTTTTAATATGGGGTAAGTTAATGATTTTTTTTATTGAAATGGTCATTAAACCAACTTTTCGGCAGGGTGATAAAAATGTTTTGAGCGAAATTCAATAAACAGCAAAGGTTTCTGATTTTCTTATGAGCACATCATTTTATTCCTTACCCGCAGAGTGGTATTTAGTGGAAAAATGTTTTGAATAAATAGTTTTGTATAGTATTGTATTGCATTCTTCAAATTCTACTCATTAGGCACACTCGTTAACATACTCCAATGCGATTCCAGGACCCATTCGACACAAAAAGTCCATGCAACTCAGCTTAACTTTTATAATGCATTGCGACATGAGGCGGCATGTTGAGCCTGTACCCCCAGACACTGGCCTGGCTTTATCCTGTTCGCAGAGGCGCTGGTGCGAAGTCCGCACTAATTAATCCCTTTACGACTGAAACCTATCAAAACACAAGCTTAACTTTTCCAATAAAAATAACGACGACACCGCCACAAAAACGAGAAGCAAAAACAACGAGATGCCACCGGGAAAACCGCAAAAAGCAGAAAGCATAAGGAATCTGCTAACTTCCTGTGACCAGGAGCTAGAAATGCACTGCGAAAAATAATTGAATGATGTCTGTTATCTGCTGTTTTAAAGCATGTTACGACTGCTAGTTCCAGTGTAATTTTGGATTACAAGAAATTTATTTTCAGGAAAAAATATTTTCAATACTGTGGAAAGGGTTTTAAAAACAGAAAATATATATTTTACATATCTATTGAAAGAAAATATTTATATTTAAATAGTACAAGGGAATAATAATTTATCATAAACTGTTTAGAAGTTTTTATTAAACCTAGACCAAGAGCTAGAAATGCACTGTGAAAAAAATTGTAATATGTTTTGAAGGAATTATGGGTTCTTTTAAATAAATTATTCGAGTGCTAGTACGAGCGTAAAATTGATTTTTAAGAATATTATTTTCAGGTTAATATTGTTAGTTTTATACAAGAGTTTTAAAAAAATATATTATATTTTTATTTATTTTAAATCAAAAACATTCTCTTAAACTTGTTGATGATTTTATACTCAGAAAGAAATATTAGCCCGTCTGTAAAATAAATTTTATTAAATCTACTTAATTACATAACATTGATTGAAAACTAATTTCCAAATATTTAAAGAGACTTCACAAAATAGTTTTCATATATTTAAACTCTCTGCCTAAAAAATAAACATAAAATTCATTCTGGTGTTGGTTTTTCTCCGAGTGTACTCGACAGTGAGATGCCGAAAGAGCAACCAGCGAGCGAGTCCCTCTCCAGAGGCGACAGCAGCGACTACAAGTCCCCGTCCGTGAGTCCTGGTGTCCTTGTGTCCGTCCCTGGCTCAAAATGCAGCAAAAGTTGGCGCACTAATTACCAGGGATTAGTTTCATATTTGTTTGTCAACAGCGGCCAAAGCGGGTTCCTTGCAACTCGAGCAGCCAGCAGCTGGTCGTCGCTAAAGCCGGGAAAACTGGGAAACCCGAGGAGGGGGGTGGGGGTGGAAAACCGGAGCTACCGGCGAGTGTCCTGTCCGACAAGTTGGCAAGATTATTTATGAGCTCGGCTTGGGCCAAAAGCGGCGAAGGAAAATCATGGCACTGAGCATGAGAGGGCAGCGTTTAGCTGCCTTCGTATTCATAATGAAATTAAGTCGATTGAATGCGCTGATTATATTCATACCATACCTTTGAGCTCGACAAAAGACCCTCTTCGGTCGCCAGTGCGTAAATCTGTGAAGGGCAAAACAAAATAATAACTCAACAAAAAATATTCGCGCTAATATGATGATGAAGCGCGTATACGCTTTATAAAAACAAAAAGTTTTTAAATAAATTCTCTGATATAAACTCGGAAATTAGAATACTTGCAAAAGAACAACAGTTTTATAGGTCTTTTATACATCTTATTTTAATAAAAACTAAAAAAATATTTAACAGAACAATCGTATTAGTTCTATCATAAGGTTCAAAGCAACAAGTTTAGCGTAACATAATTTTTAAATAAATTCTCTGATATAAGCTCGGAAATTAGAATACTTGCAAAAGAACAACAGTTTTATAGGTCTTTTATACATCTTATTTTAATAAAAACTAAAAAAATATTTAACAGAACAATCGTATTAGTTCTATCATAAGGTTCAAAGCAACAAGTTTAGTGTAACATAATTTCTTGACAGCTAAATTATTTTTAGTTGTTAATCTTGTTTAAACTTGTTCTATGTGTTCTTCTTGAAGGTAATTTAACCTTACATCACATAAAATCAAATTTACTCCATTCATACAGTTACCCAGACGCATATACCTTATATTTGCTATGTGGCACAAACATCACGGCGAACATACAATACCTTTGGCATGTTTATTATGCAGGGAAAAACTTATTACCCGGCCCTCCTCCGCACACATAATCAGATTGCAGAACGCAGAGGGCAACCCTTGACCAAGGAGTTGGAGTTGGGTTTTCGGTAAAAGGGACGAAGGGGCAGAATGATCCACCCTCGAATCGCATGTCTCTAATGTGATTGACCCTTACGCCTCGTTGCCGGCATAATACTTGTGTTATCCCTGGCTGGAAAGTGCAGGACCAGCAGGACCAAGGACCTTCGCTCCCATGTTGGTCATCGTGGGCTTCAATAAATTATCACGCCATATAAAGCAATTAATTCTGCAGCTACTGCAGCCCCTTCTGCACTTATTTTCCCGGCTCAAGGGTTGTTTGTGCAAACTTCTTCAATATTATTTGCTTATTCGCTGCTGGCTTCCTTTTTATCCACTTTTTTCGGCCGGGATAAATAAGGTTTTAATAGGGTTTTGCTCTTGTTTTCAGTTAATTGATATTTCCTGCGCCATCGTCAACGTCGTCACTTTCTACATAATTCGATTTTCTATGTAGTGCACATTTTTCAATTATTTCCACAGCTCTTTTTCAGTGTCCCCGTTTTGTGGCACTGCCAAGTGGCTTGCAAATTACTTTCGCCTTTACTTTAGCGACGAGAGGAGGGGTTCGGATATGGGTCCTGTTATGGCTCCTGTCATGTAAGCGGTCAGCTTGTAAGCTTGATTGGCTTTTTCTTGCGGTTGTCTGCTGTTCTCGATGGCACTGCAGCGTAACAATGTTTGGCTAGAAATTAAGTTTTGTGCTCTAGTTTGCAGAACATATTGCAATTTTTTAAGTGCCACAGTTGCAGGTTGCTGGTTGCAGTGAAAGTGTTTTCTTTCCTGTAAGGGGAATTTCTCTTGGTTATTTGCACTACGTGTTACATTTTTGGTTTTAAAGTTTATTGTAGGCTTTAGAGCTTGGAAATCACTTTTAATTGTGTGAAAATGAAGGCACTAAAAATAAGCACGTCGTCTTTTCAAATAAATCCGAAAAACTTATAGATAATAATAATATTGTAGCGTAGGTACTTTAAAAAAACGACGTAATAAATCCATATAATTTGTGCACAATTAAAATATTTTTCTATTTCATTTTCATCCAGTGTGGTTTTTAAGTAGATTATATATGAAAATATTCAAGTGTTTTAAATTGCTTCATTTGTCTATTTGCGGAATTGATTTCAATAACTGAAAATTGTATTTAAATGTAAGCTTGTTTAAATCAAACAGGAACTTTTTAAATTAAATATTTTACACGTTTATTAAAATAATTTCAATAAATATGCATTGCGTATAATATTATTATTAAACATTTATTTTTAATATTGGACATCCAATTTTGAATTGAAAATCAAACATTTATTTTTACTATCCATTTATTGTCAATGTATGCTAGTATTTTGAATTTAAAATCAGATATTTGTTTGTACTATTCTATTTGTTATCAATGTATAGCTACATTTAAAATCATGGTCATTTCTGTGGCACACATCTCGAAATTTTTTTCCACATCTTAATTCGGTTATTATTTAGTAAGTGGCCTGTTGAAAGTAGTTTCGCTACCCCCACTCTAAATCTACCTTACCCACGTCAGTTTTTTTATTTTTATTCCCCCGGCGACCCAGTTAGGATATATTATGTTCTATCGACATAAGTTCACTGCCATTTGTCGCTGACGAGCGCCAAGCAATCAATTTCCCAGACAACGAGGACAGCCGCGCCTTTGTTTAAATTTTGGCAAGGCATTATAATTTTCCTACGCAACTCGGTTATTTGACCCTCCCATTCTTGTTTGGCCTGCCAAAATAAAGGCGTGTAGCTTGGTCCTTGGAGAAATTTTTGGGAAAAAGCCCGACCCGGCCCCATAAATTATGTTGACCAAATGCATTGCCAGTGGGCGTGCCCCCACGCCCCATAATTAGTGCATTAATAAAGACAAGAGACTGTTTGGCAGATGGATAGAACAGACAATAGAATCGGATAGTTTTATTTATGCGATTTGACGGCGCTGCAGCGGAGCCGATCCAATAAAGTAGTCGAATCCGGCTAACGGCTCTCGCTTGTTGTCGCAAACAACGCCATAATAATATAATGAAATTTATGATGCGCATTTAATGTACTCCTCGCCCAACAACACTGGGCGACAATAAACGACAGACCAGCAGAGCGAGGGGTAGATGAGACCTTAGATTTCGAAACGACTGCTAATACACGGAAAAAATTATTCAATTTGCTGCGAAATTTTTCGTATTTTTAGACAATTTATTTATTTATTTCCATGCCAACATAAATTAAATTATGTTGTGTTTTTAAAAACAAATGTAAAGATTACAGTCACTGGAAAACTACACACATGTGTTAATTACAAATTTATCATAAGGCTTTATTTAAAATTAGTCCTAAGACTATGCAACTATGCCATTTATATCAATGTTAAAGATTTACTAAATTTGATTTTGAACTTATATATTCGTTTCCACAAACTATGAATCTGTTATCTAATCACAAAATATTCACAAATTTTGTGATTTAAAAAAAGTAATATATTATATATAATTATATATAATCCTTAAACTATCAACAAATAAGATTTATATTAAAGTTTTCCTGAATTTGACTCTGAACTTACTAATTTTTTATGAAAAAATATGGATTATTTTTTATCTACATTAATTATTAATTCAAATAATTTTATGGTTTTTAAAAATAAATCTTAAATAATTAAACACAAGGGTTTAATTTTTAAATACAAAATTTTATTGCAAATTCGTCCTTAAACTGTGCAACAAAAATATATTTAATATATTAATATTAAGGTTTCAATTAATTTGTCTGGCTTAAACAATGTACAAAGTAAAGTACAATTTGACAATATCAACCTCATAATAACCATTGTTTATTTTGTCTGTATGTCGAACAAAGCCAACACTTAACTGATTTCAAAATTATATTGCCGCGAGTGTGAGTGGATTAGTATGCGAGTGTATGTGTATAATATGGCATATAATTTTATTGCTTATTGTTCGCGCTGGTCAAGACAGTTTTCCACCTCCCCGGCCTTTAATTTGCGCCCATTCCCCTGTAATTTGTGCGTTTGTGCGTGATGAGAGGCGTCCTGAATCGTCCTGCGAATCGAGACGACAGGGTAAATATTTGCGCTGGGCAAACGTTAGTTGCGGCAATCTGGACACATATCTATGTGTACAATGGGTTCGAGTCCCTTGTTTGTTTAGTTTTCATAGAGTTTTATTGTCTCAACGCAATGCATTTATTGGAAAAGCGCTGGGGAAATTGATTGCCACGCAGGATCAAGGTTAGGGTTGCAGAGTTTTTTCTGGTGAAACTTTTAACGTCTATACATTGGATAGCTCACAACTGTGGTTTGAAATGCCTTACTTACAAATAACTCGGGGGATGCCACATAAATCAGTGGGCTTTTGAAATAACTTCTTAAATGTTTCTTAAAGTATGTAGTAAAAAAATCAATAATATCTACGGATCAAAATCAAAACAAAATATATTGTTGCATACATTTAGACACCTTTATTAGTGATTTTAAAACCAAAGTTACCATTTTCCATTTCAAATGTATAAAGTTACCTCTATTTTTTCAATCCTGCTGAATTTCGTTCAGTCCATTTTATACATCCGTTTTTACACATCAGGTTTTTTTTTAACTGATCGACTCAAGATCTGCGATTAAATTAAAGTACATCGAGCAACTTTGCTCAAAATGGAGTCAAACTTTACGAAGGAAAGTGTCATAAATGCTCTTTATCTGTTGCGCATCGGCACCAATCCACCGGCCGACAAATACTTGCACTCCTTCCAAAAATCGAAAGAAGTTTGGCGGATAGCTGAGGAGTTGCTGTCCCACCAGCCATCTTATCCCCTGCACATTCTGACCTTTGCCGCCATGAGTTTGGCCAAGAAAACAAAGAATGATTTTCGTCGGCTAAGTATGCCCAAACGATGGTATCTAAGGGATCGCTTCACAAAGCATTTGCTAAATGCAGCCATGATGCCGGAATCCAATTCTTTGATTGTGCAATTGGGCATATGTCTGTCAGCGTTGGGACTAGGCTCGCCCAATTTGGAAGAAGAAATGTGTGTCTTTGTGCAGCAATTATCCGAACAACCCGAACACATAATGGCACTGCTGGAGGTCCTGAGGATTCTGCCCGAAGAGGCTATGTCATTTGATCCAGAGCAGCATGTAGAATCTTTGGAGTCCGTGCGCCTGGCCCTCCGTTCTCAGTCCTCCAACATTTTCAATACAGTCGAGGGATTTCTGGAGCGACGCGACTTACCAGATGGTGTTCTGCTTAAGTGTCTGGCCGTTTTAGCATCCTGGACAAGGTATGGCTTTATATTAACCGACCGAGTGCTTGAACGTAAGCTGTTCCATCGGGCATATGTTATCTTAGTTATTCCCCTCATTGAAGGACATTTGGAGGCGGCCGACTGTGTATTGGGCATGTTGGAGTACTCCTTGGTCGCAAATTATCTGGACTCCCGTTTATTTCAGATGGTCATCTCACTGGAAGCAGCGTTCCAAAGCTCCGTGGGCAAGCAGGATCTAATGCAAAACTATTGCCACATATTCGTGAACCTGTTCGAAACTCACTACCAGCTGACAAAATGGGATCCTGCGAAAATCCAGGAGCGACTTCTCACCATCGAGCTATTGCTACTTATAGCCGCCAAGTGCCCACTGACGGTTGTTGAAAGCTCCATGAATGTGTGGTCTTTGCTGTCGGCAGATTTAAAAAACCATCCCGATGACCAATTGATTTCTACATATCGACCCTACTTTCTGCGATTTCTAAATCAACTTTTCATTATAGCCGCTGTGCCAGCGAGCTATGCGTGCATTGAGCTTCCCAGCTCCTTGGATCGTTTCCGAGGACTTGTGGCCGAAGTCCTGGTGGATGTAGCCCACTCGGTGGAGGACAACACCCTCAATGAACTGTACGATATTGTAAGAAATAAGAAGAGTCCATGGACAGATGTGGAAATGGCCATTTTCTTTCTGCGACACTTAATGCAAAGGGTGCACCAGTTGCCTTTTATTTTCAATATTGTGGACAGCGTAAGGAATCGAAAGGAGCCTTTAATACGCCTTCAAGTCCTGGAATTGATTTCCACCCCAGGAATCGAGGATCCCGGCACCATCTGGAATTGTCTGCTCAACGAACTGAGACAGGAAGTGCCAATTTTGGCGGCGATCGAATGCCGCTTAAGCCTTCTGATGCCCTATTGGAAATGTTTATTGCATTTGGCTTCCTCGGTGGACGAATTCCACTTAAAGGAGAGCCAACGCAGTGAACTTTTGGCCAGGATCTACACTTTGGTCAGGCAACTTGGTCCATCATATGTCCTAGAAGCGAATAAGTATCTGGTAAATGAGTGTAGTAACTGTCAAGGCCCCCGTAAAAATCGAATTAATATGATCCAATATCACCTAAACCTTTCGACAAATATTTAGCAATGTTTATAAACGAGTTTTATAAGTTTATAAAGGCAGTTCACTGCAAGAATATTTATTTATTTTAATCTCTGTTCAAGAAAGGAATGTTAAAATATAATAATCAAATCAACTAAAAAAATATACATATAAAAAGTGAAAAAATGTAATAAGCTCAGAAACATAATTTTAAGGCTTAAGAAAACTTTTCCTTATTTATCTAAATGCTAAGTAATAAACAAAATTTGGTTCAAGAAACTTTTTTTGTTGTTCAAGTTTTTTAAAATTAATTTCACTTTTCAAAATACTGTAGTAAATAATTTTCAAATTATTAAATAAAATTCTGACCTTTATGTTGGAACACAAATATTTGTAGAATCTAATATATTTTTTTAATTACAAACTTTAATTTTTTAAACCAATACTTTTTAAGAATATTTTAAAATATTATACCTCTGATAAATTGTAAATTCCAAAGTTGATTGCTATTTTTATAAGCTAATATTTTCATGACCGCAGCTGAAAGCCATTCGGAACAGTCTTGTTTAACTTCAAACCAATAAAAATAAAACGCTGCCGACAATTCGGCAATGACTCATCTTTATACCCAATTCCTTAGAACTTATGACAACATCAAGAAGTCCAAGTCGCCTTTCTTGGCAACAGCCATAAAGCGACAATCCACGCAATAGACAAGTTAATTTTGGTAACTAATTTGGCGACGGCTAAAGGCCGACGCACGCCTAAATCGTAAAATAAAATCAGATTCGAGACTCATTTAGCTTTCTTTGGAAGGGAAGTGACTGAGTGACGTTGACGGTGGACTGACACGTGATATCAATTCTCGTTTTCGTCCTTGGCGATGATTCAACCGAATCACAAAGGACCCAGTGCCAGCCGATGATGAGGTGCAAAAGAGTCATGCCGAAAAGTCCTGGAACATGCGTCAAACCCACTCCTGTTGCTCCTTTTTCTTCACTCGCCTGCGCACTTCCGCAATAATTTTTATCGCATTTATTTCTCTTTCTCGGGCTGAATTTTTACTACCACATTTCAGTTGGCTGTTTGGCTGTGGGCTGCGGGCTGGTGGCTGGTAGGTTTTCCTAGGCGCCACTTGAACTATGAAAATTTGTCCCGCCTTGCTGGCGCCGTGTTTATCGATCGCGCATGGAAAACACTTTTGCCATTTGCTTTATCTGCCAGCAAACATTGCCCGGCAGAAGGAAAAATATATATGCGCCAGTTTGCAGGACAGGGTAGACAGGACTTCGGACTTGGTTCGTTGGTCTTGGCTCCATTTCCACATTTATTCCCAGCCCACAGTCCACTGCCCACAATTTCGTTTGGCGCATTTTCGCTTTCCCTCGTCGCGTGGTGCGTTCATAAATATTCCGTTTTTGCTTTGCTTTTCTACATACCCCAATGTGTGTGCTTGTGTATATTTTAAGTGTGTTTCTGTTTTTGCAGCAATTTCAGTTTTTATTCCCGTAATTTATATGCCCCCACATATTGGGGTAGGTTTGGGTAAACGTTTTCCTGGAATCTAACAAAAAAAAACCAAGCAGCAGGTCTAAGTTTATCAGAGGTTGGCACTGAGTTGCAATTACCACTCGCCATATTGCGGGCTCTGCAAGTGGCCAACTTTGAAATGGAGCTGCCAATATGGGACAATTATCGTAGCTTTTTTCGAATTTTTAATTATTGGGTTACAAGGAAATGTAATGACATATAAGTAACTCTTTAAAAATGTGTTTTCACATAAAAAAAATATTTTTAAAGAATTTCCACAATGGAGCAGTTTAAAAATCTTTTAAAAGAAATGGGTGATAACTTTTTAAACTTGTAGCTTGGCTTAATTAATTTTATGAGCCATTCGAAATTCCCTCAAACACTTTTTAACCCCATCCAAAATTTTTACCTAATTCGCCATCCAACTCATCTCACTTGGACCCACTTCAAGTGACCCTCATAATTTACAAAAACATTTCATTTTAAAAATTAATTTCAAACTTTGCCCCCAAATGGAAAATTTGTTTTAATTGATGATTTACGTTGCCAGTCACGAGCTGGAACCCTTCTCTCTAATGAGGACAGTTGTTGTGGGCAAGTGTTAACATGGAAACCCGGCCAACCACCCCATTTTTGCAGTAAAGAAGTAAAGAAGCGCCGCTAATCAAGTGTTAAAGAAGGATACCCGGACAGCTGAAGGAACTTTGTATTGCCGTATTGCCCTCGTCCACGGGGACCTTTTTCTGCCTCGTCCTTTTAAATATTTAAGTGGATTTATGCTGACGGAGGGGGAGGTGGCTTACTCAGACAGACTTGGAGCACTTCCTTCTCCATTTAGAAAATTTGCATGCAACTTTTTGCTGCATTTCTTGCCATTGCTTTTATTTTTCCACCTGTCGCGTAAAATTTCACACAGCAGCATAAATTTCAGCCCGACGGCAACCGCACCAGCGGGTGGTAGGTGGGAAAACCACCTGGCCACGCCCACACCTACAGCAACAAACGCCCCCATGGCTCCAGTTGGAGGCGGTTTTCCCTCAGGCGACGCGCCGCATTTGACGCCACATAATTTTGCTGTCGGTGGAACTTTTTGTTAGCCGCTTGTTGTTTTTCAGTCCCCTCCAATCCCCCACCTCATATCCCATATTTTGCGTATTTGTTGGACCAGCCACGCCCACACCCACACGCCCACGCCCGTCGCATTGGTGAAATTTATTTGGCGACAATAACAAAAGTTTTGCATACTTTTGGGCGGTTTCGGCGGCATTTCATTTACGATTTCGTTTTCGTTTTGTTTGCTAATTAAAAGTAAGTGCAGCAGTCCCGCCTCACCTGGGAAACGGCACTGTGGTTTCTGTTTTAATAAATAAATGGTGGAATTGTTAAATTGATATGTACCAATTCTTACAAAGCTTCAATCAGTAATGAACACAAGTTCAGAATTAATAGATTTTTTTTAATTTTTGATTTTATTTATTCAAAGGAGCAAGAACGTATGCCTTCAAAAATAGTGAATAGTATTTTCTTTCGAATTTCCAAGACCTAGTGATTTCTGTACCACAATACCTCGAATAATCTTATTTTACATTTAAAATCTCTAAATAGATTCAATAAACTAGTTTTGTTACATTACAACAACCAATCATAAAGTAAGCCCACTTTAAAGTCATAAATCTGTTAAAGATGCCAGTCATACCTATGACCCTGCAATGGTTGGCTAGTGTTTTGCAAATAATTTTAATTTATTTATATTACATTTCTTTAAGGTACTAATTTAATAATACACCTATCCACTGTGCAGAGAAGGTATCTTAAACCGACTTTAAAAAAAAACTACCGCCAAATTAATCGCAGAATATGGGCAAGTTTAAAGAAATATTTTGGAAAACTGCACACGTGTTAGCCGCCTGCTCTTCTGCACCCTTTGCCCCAGCCACGCCCACTCCCACAGGGGACGCCATTTTGCACGCGAACTTTGGCCGCAGTTTGACATTTTGCCGCAAGGAAAAAGCCCCACGAAAGGAAAAACTTGAAAATAAAAAGAGGACCGCGGCGAACATTTAAAACTTTCGCAGTTTTAAATTGTCGCAGAGCAAGAAGGAATGGCAGCAAAGGCTGCAGTTGACTTTCTTTTCTCCCCCTTTCGAAAAAAAACACCCAAACCCTGGGCCCACGGAAAACCTCAACTGAAAACTCAACTCGATGCGACTGTCAATTGCAAATGTCACACTGGGAAAGCTCTGAGGGCAAAGCTGGAACTGAAAGTGGAGTCGGTCTTTCCGCTCGGCTGTCACTAATTCCCCCAGCTCGATTTGCATTTTTCGGTTTCGGTTTAGGTTTTGGTTTGAATTTTTCTTTTACCGTGTTGCACTGAGCACTTGTTTTTCCTTTTTTGTGGGGGGCATGTGCTGCGGCGGTTTTTTTAAATAAATTGAACATTTGCTAATATCTTGATCAAATGTCGCTGTTATACCGCTTGATAAATGGAAATTTTCTGTTGTCAGAAGGTTTTCCAACTCTCTTGTTTTTTGGGTCGAGTGTTTTTAACGGTTCGCTAAACGGCTGGTGCCTTACAAACAAATATACTCGAAAATTGCTGCGGGTAAATAGTTTTTGCCTTTTGCTTTCGATAGTTAAATTTGAACAAACATTCTGGGGTAAAACTTAAAATGAAGCAAGGATTTTTTTTTTATTTGGTTGTTAGTTTTGTGTAATTTCAAGCCTAAATTCTGTTTTAAGAATTTTGCTGATGAAATTAGGTTTTTAATATTATTATTTAATCTCTAGAATGATATAATTTTAAAGTTAACTTAAGTTAATATTAGTTAAGGAAACCCTGAACCCGGAATGCTGTTTTCATGTTGCTACTCCTCAAAAGTTTCGCTTTTTGGACAAGAAAATTTACAAGGCAAAACAAACTAATAAGAAAGTACGTGCGAATAATTTTACAAATTAGACGAGAGCGCAGAAGTAGAGTCTGGAAACTGGGCACGTGAAGAGAGGTGACACCCGCATGCCGAGGCATGTAACCAAATACTTCTTGAGCCACTATTCCGGGGCCATAAAGCCCCAACTAACATGATAAGAGACCAGGGGACTCGTGTCGAAACCAGACACGCCTCAAACTTCGTGCCACAATACTGTTAAATACACACTGTAAACAAGGCGAGCTGGCAACAACTATTTTGCGAGATGGTTCACAGGCTCTGGTTGTTTCATTTGGGAAACTCAAGGCGTTTGAACGACGACCACACGTCGTATACTCGATATCGAGGTATCGTTGCGTATGAAAGCAATTAAGAATGTTTACAAAAATTATATTTAATGACAATAGGAACGTTTCCCGATTATTAAAATATTTGTACATTTATATACATATTATTGATTTTTTAGCTGAACCCTTAAGGCTTTATCCATTTTTCTATTATATACTGCAAGACTTATAAAAAACAATGACAACAATTTGTGTACCAGTTGTCATTATATTAACTATTTAAAGGAAGAATTAAGTGATTTCCGATGTTTCGCATGTTTTTTTTATTAACTATTTAATTTTAAGAATTGCA